ACACACACACACACACACACACACACACACACACACACACCCACCCATGCTTTTAGCACCATGAAGCTGTAAGGTCCACACAATGTGTGGCAGTGGTGGATGGGTGGTATGGTACAGCAAACAGAACATCAAACAGGAAAAACTGGTATTCTATCCCAAATCTGCTTTCCTGCTTCCAAACTAAACAGGCTTCAAAGGGGACGCTTGTTTGTGCTTCTGCACCAGGCGGGACTTCTCAATGCTTGGGTCAGACCTAAAGAGCACAGAGCAGGTTAAAGAGCACAAGACACAAGCAGTGAAGGCTGTAAGCTTAACTCTTTGTTGCTCTGGTCATAGGGCAGGCGTCCACCAAGGAAAGCATGCATGAACAGGCGCTCCCCTTACAGTCCCGAGTACAGGGATCTGCCCAGCTAACACAGGGTCAAAGCGCCTGGCCTAAGTGGTTGCAATACAGCTGTCAGTTGCTGGTACCCTTAGGGTCATTGACTTTGCTCTGAATGTATCCTCTAGGTTTTCTTATGTTTGTCCCTTTCCTAGCAAATCTGGATTTCTCTAGCAAACTTAAGCTCTTCAGGGCCAAGGGCCACAGCTCGGACTTTTACTGTATTTCTTAGGAACAAATAGACTAAGCACACAATAGGGGCACAGGCAGTGCCAGTGACTGCTAGCCTAGGAAGGTATAGGAGGTACCTTTTTGTGGAGGCAACCTTGAGATGGCAGTGACCATCTAGCAAAAGTGACCCATCTACTTTCTTTTTCCTAACTAAAAACCTGCTGGAAGGGAAGTACAGTGATAAAGCCTGTAAGCCAGTGCACTAAGTACCAGAGAGGCAAGCAGAAAGCTCAGGGCCATGTGTGGTTCTGTTGTTCTGCCTTATGATAGAGGCTGTGTTTCTTTTGAAGTGCAGCAAACCTTCCCTTAGGTCTAAGGGTCTGGGTTTAAGAGGTTCTGTCCAGGCCACATGGGGAGGGGGAAGGAAGACAGGGAGGGAGGACTGCTTCAGTGCCAACATTCTCAGGTGGTGCTAACGTGTTTCCCACAACCCCCCAGGGTTCTACAGGCTCTGCAGGGGCGGATGTTTCCTGCCCTTTGTTTCCACCCCCATCTGGCACTAAGACACTTGGGACTGGGAGGGAAGGTCCAATGGAACATCTTGGCATGGATGTCAGAGGTGGCCTGTCAGGCAGACTGCCAGTCTGGTGCCTTTTCCAGAGAACATGGTTCTCGAACTTGCTTCAGATGGCTGCTGGGAGAGAGGCATTAAAAATCCTGGGCTTTGCAATCATCTTACACAATCCTTGTCCCTTACAGTACAGCCAACAGCTATAGTAGCTACATCAACTATATTTGACAGGTATCCAGAGACCAAAGCACACCCCAAGGCTGACCCACCATGAAGCTTCAAGAACTAAGGGTACCCAATAGTCTCCAATGAGCACTCCAGCTAGGAAAAGCAGAGATGCTTACCCTCCACCAGTACCAATAGCCCAAGTGGTAGGAAATGAAAGGCGTGAGCCAAAGGTCGTGCTCTGGAGGGTTCCTGTCAGTCTGGCCTTAGGGTGACATTGGCCAGAAGAATGTTACCTCGAACCAACAGAATGATCATGAAAAGCTACAAGACAATCAGACCAAAGGCATCTAACCACTTCAAAATCCTCCCAGCCTCCCTGCCAGACCACCCAGCAGCACTGCCGTTATCTGCCAGGGCTGAGTGTTTACCAATAACGGGAACCAGCTTTGCTGTTTTACTGCAAGCTTTATAAGGAAAAAACAAGGGCTGGGCTCATGCAGCCGCTGGTTGCTGGGACACGGGAGTCCATTTGCTCAAGCAGTTTAAGCCATGGATCAGCCATAATAATTTGAACTACTCTGATTAATAAACAATTTTTCTTGCCCCATGCATTCCCTGCAAATCCTGTCTTACAACATGCACAGCCAGGTCAGCCTGCCTGGCTCCGGGCATGTGTAGAGGGGCTGTTGTTCACTCTCAGTACTGTTCTGTCCTCCCGCCCAGCTCACCAATGAGGGGCACCACCAGGATGTACTTCCTGCTCTCCAGCAGCCGAGCTAGACTGGCCAGGTGGTCAATGAAGCCGTTGGTATCTGGTACGAGGAACAAGGGTCTGATCTCCAGCTCCATCTGCCTCATCTGACTCTGGTCTTCCAAAACAGCCTACAGGGACACAGAATGTGAGGGAGCAAGAGAGTGAGCAGGCGGGTGAGCCAGGGCCCTGACTCAACAGTGTGTAAGCATCCTGCCCCCACACATCTCTCCCCTTCCAGAGGCACAGCACCCCTTCAGGCCTGAGGAACAGACCCACGGGCTGAGCAAAGTAGCACAATCAAAATTAACATAGACCAAATGGCCCAGGGATGAGGTGTCACTAAACCTTGGCTGTCACTGAGAAAGGACCCTGATATTAAAAATAAGTTTCTGAAAGGATCTTAAGACTAGAAATTAAGAACGCAAGAAGGGAGTAAGGAAAGGGGCTCCACATGTTATACAGGCAGTATGCACAGAGCGCTTCTCCATTCAGCACTTAGGAATATCATATCAGAACTGATCTTCCTTTCCTTCCTTGCTTTGCTCCTTCTCATCCCTTTTTAAAAGGGGTCAGGGAATATAGTGTGGTGGCATAAGCCTTTTATCCCAGCGTTTGGGAGGCAGAGGCAGAGGCAGAGGCAGAGGCAGAGGC